AAACAGACATTCAGCTTTATATATAAGATAGAACGTTTAGAGGGACAAATTCAAGACTTTTTCTTTATCTTCAATGTTCCTCCATTCGATAAGTTCCTGCCTGGCTCCAGTCTGCCCTTACTGACACTGCCTCCATCACAGTGTGATTTGTGCACCACTTGTATTTGTATTTTACTTTCGAGACCTTAGATTGGTATAAAACTCAACTTATTATCTGTGATTAGCTATTTTCAGCATATATGATTACAAAAGCGGAAGATCATTTCCCTCTTGTATTGTCTAGTTTTGATCGTAAAAGTGCCTATGACTTATTTGCTACTCTACAAAACGCACAAAGGCGCCCTAGTCGCAACTTGCTTGCTGCATCCCATTATCTTCTCAGACAACTGACCGGAACCTCCGCAGAACGTCTGGGAAAGTTCTGCCGTGCCACTTGCAGAAGTTCCGTAAACGTGCTGGGGAAGTTTCTAAGAATGCGAACCACAGCAGCAGAAGAGAATACCTAAGCGAGATGCGAACGTTGCTCTTTTTACTGTCAAACTCACTCACTATCCTTTGCACTACGGATGGCAAGCGAAGAAACAATGGAAGAGACACATTTAGAACCCTGCGGAAGTACTGGCAAATCAAAGTGCTGCGGAACAGGTGGCATTTTTCTGCAGATTTTATAAGAATCCCTACAAAAGTTCCCGTTCAACCAGTCTGGGTGGAAATCCTGCGGAAGTTCCCTTTTTAACGTTTCCACTTAAGTATTGTCCAAGTTCGACTCTCGATTAATCTCGACATGTTGCAAATGCTTGTTGTGGCTTGTTTAGCTGGACACCGGGATTGGTATATCCTTTATTCGACTAACGTTTCGGCGATATCGCCTTCTTCAGAGTCTGAAATCATCGAATGCATAAGTGAACTATCCTATCAAAAACCGCCTCAAGACCTAGGAAGACGCCCAATGCGTCAGTGAATCAAGAACTCGAAAGTGAATGCAGGATTAAACTAATGCTCACCTAAACAGATGCCGACCACTATACCAGTACTGGTATAGTGGTCTGCAGTACCACTTAGTCGGCATCTGTTTAGGTGAGCATTAGTTTAATCCTGCATTCACTTTCGAGTTCTTGATTCACTGACGCATTGGGCGTCTTCCTAGGTCTTGAGGCGGTTTTTGATAGGATAGTTCACTTATGCATTCGATATTTCAGACTCTGAAGAAGGCGATATCGCCGAAACGTCAGTCAAATAAAGGATATACCAATCCCGGTGTCCAGCTAAACAAGCCACAACAAGCGTTTCCACTTAATCTCGTAATCTAATATATAAAGAATCGTTAGCTCGATTCAAAAATCTTCCAGTAGCGGAAAATTGCGGTGGGTCCCGAACCGAACGCTCTTCCAAATAGCACCTTTAGTTTAGTGGTTCACTAATAGTAGACAAAATCCCGTGGAACCACTGCAAATTTTGCTCTTTTTGCGGAAGTTCTGGTAAATTGCGTGAGTTCTTTTGGATAGAAATGCTTGGTGAACGAATGATATGTTAATTATAGTTATGACAATTGGCTGTGTTTATCCTCGCAGGATTTGCGTGTTCGTGAGATTCGCGGTATGCACGTGCATTGCGGAGTTTGGCCGCAACCCGTAGATCAAATATAGATGAGAATCTGCGAGCGGGTTTAGACTCGATTTGACATGAGCAATCTGCTTGAGGTTTCTGTCCACTTTTCTTAATAAGCATTTTTTCAAATTTTTTCTTTTCGCCAGGAGGGTAACACTTCTTGGAGATAATATATCGAATCAGACGAGAACGATATAATAATTACCAAAGCAAAATGTAATGTGACATCACTAACACCAAACCCAATCTCGCAGAATTAACCATCTTGGGATCGTGTCCGCTCTCATTTAGTTGGTATGTAATAAGCTGTAGACACGAACTTGAACCATCTCCATTGACTCTATAGCTTTGGGAACGATGGGAACTCCATACTTTTGGGAAGAGGCAAGGAATTTGCGATTCTCTAATTGTAAGCTTATCTTGAAATTGCTGTAAAAGTTTGTGCTCTACCTGTTACCCAACCATACACTATTTATCGACGAGGTCAAGAATGTTTTCATTTTCACATGTCGCCAGGCAGCAAATTTTATGTTATCACTAACATTTTCTAGCCGTCCACGTCACAATTGTCATATGATTCAAAGCGGACTTTTTCTGCGATATCTACATGTATGCATTAAACAGCACATAAACAAATCTAGAGTTAATTTATATGGCCATCACGATCGCTTCTATGCAGACTTTTATTGCTTTGCTTGTCTGCCAATGTCTTACTCATGTGAAGTCTTGGCCAGTTCAGCTGCTGCTTTGTTTTTGAAAGTCTGAATCACGATTATGACCGCTTTTCGAGCTTAATATGCATTTTCAATGCTACTTTCGAAAATGTCCGTCATAATTTTTTTTAATTTCCAAGATAGCGATGGCATGTGATAAGGGCTTCTAGGGAGTGACATCAAGCAGTTTAGCATAAATAATCTCGTGCTTTTCATTCTGTTTGTGCCCCACCCCTTCCCGTCTTTATCTGGAAACATTGGAGGCTGCAATAAATGTGTTTCCATTAGTTCCTCTGTTTTTCCGGAATGCATTTGCGATAAACACGTTCGCAGGCATTCAAACCTTTCTTGTCTACATCAAACAGAAAAATGCTCGTTGTGTTTTCTTTATTTGTCTCTATGATATGTCCTCCAAAAAGATTCTTATATAGTGGTTGATCATGAAAGTGAAGTATTATCTTCGTCCATAACATAAGTCTTTCAGAAAAAAATTCTGAAAATTTCAGCGCTATTCTATCACGTACAATTCAATACACGTATTCTATTAGATTGGCTTAAAAATAATTTCGTTCTGACATGATTTTTTATAAAACTGTTCTTTTTTACCCATATTTTGAGAGTGAAGTAGCTTAAAGCTTCTTCTATCACATATCAGCTACTCAGGGTTCTCTATCATCTCAAAGGTAGTCATGGCCCAACAGGGCTAAAATTCCAAAAGCTCAATTCTGCGATTTCAACGCGTCATTTCATGCTTTAGTAGATATAGAGACCGTAATTTGGTATTTAAATAGAGACAAATTTTCAGTGTTTAGAGAACAGCAGTAAAAGTTGTCATCTAGAATTTCAAAATTTTTTGACCGAAAAAATTTATGCGCACAATAAGGAAATTGGGGTTTCTCACTTCTTCGCGCATTTCTTTCATAGGAAAATAAATTCTACTCAAACAAAATACATATGACAATTTTCGTTGGAGTGCTCTTCCCGGAGCGGCCAAACACTGAACAAAATTTTGTCTCCAGCACTTGTAGGAAAAAGCGAACGAAATTATTTATTAGCCAACCTAATATTTGACCTTTTCAATTTCGGAAAATTGAGATAAAAAAGTGAAAAGATCACTATTTGCAGAGAAAAAAAACAGTTAGCTCGAGTTAGTGACAGTATCAGACTATACACCCTCCAGAATTCTTTTGTTAATGGGGAAGTCTTATTTTTAGCTGAACCTAGCTGCATAGTTGACGATGTTCACCAATTTGACGATTTTTACCTTCATAATTACTTTCTCATTAGTACAATTTCTAAGAAATTCTATCAATTTATTTTGGTCTGATTCCTTCTCATATCTTTGAAGTTTGGTTAATGCTACATTAAACGAAACTATGGGTAAGTGCAAAGTTTCTGCTTTGAAAAATTCCTATGATGCTGAAAATAATCAAGAAATAAGATGATTTGGTTTAGAACGTGTCTTCTAGTAACCAAAGATGTCGAATTTAAGTTGTGCACTTATGAATGGGGTTACTGAGGAAAAAATCAACTCTTTGCTTCAAGTGTGAAAAAGCGAATTGCAAAATGTATTTTACGGTTGTCACAGGTTTGGCTCCATGAAGCTTTTTTTCTGGGAATTGATGACTTTTAGCCATTACCTTCGCCACCACTTTATGACTCGAGTAGTTATTGGGTTACTGAAGTAAACAAAGGTTCTTACTACTCTTGTACACTACCCAAGTTTTTAAGAGCAATTCAGTTTTTAGCACGCTCAACTAATTCATCTTCTACTGCAAAGGTTATGCAAATAATTGATGATGAAGTGTGAAGGAAGGGTGAAACCCGTTTTAGCGTAGTTTTGGACACCAAATCACTGCATCCTTTCCCATCCTTCTGTCCATCTTCACTTAAAACTTAGCATTCAGTTTGGGCCATCATCTGTACTTTTGGAGCTGGAAAAGTTCATGCGAAAATAGCTTTAGTGAGTAGGAGACAGTTGATATCAAAGAAATTTTTCGTTCGGATAATCTTCGAACACTTCCAACGTATAGAATTCCTTTTTGAAATCAGTCGAGTATAAAACGCTTTCGAGGACAAATATAAAATTTTCTAGATATGTTTCTGGTTCGTATCTGTACTCACTGACAATACCGTTCACTACAGTGTGATTTGTGCGCAACTTGTGCTTAGGCTTTACTTTGAAACCCTTTGGATAGGTATAAAATTTGACTTACTAGTATATGTTGATTATTTTACGGTTATGCGATGATTGGAAGAGTTTAGTTTTCTTCAGCATTTGACGGTTCCGTCGTCCTGCTCTTGCATTCTCTTTAGATCTAGTTTTGATTAGAAAAGTCCTTATTTGCCACTTCAAAAAACGCAAAAATGCTATAACCGCCTAGACCTGCAGCAAACTCCAAATTCATTTCTTCATTGCTCTATCCCTTTATGTTGCTTTGGATAGAAATTCTTGACGAAGGAATGACGATCACATAACCTTAGTCATGACAATGGAATGTGTCAGTTTTTGCGAGCTTATTGGGACGATTTGCGGAATTAATCCTTGACTTTCCAAAAAATCAAATATATAGCGTATTTCAAAAAATGTGCATGTTTAATCGTCAGTAACTCTCCTGCAGTGATATCTTTTGCTGATATTGGTGCTTTTTGAAGAGCTGGCTTCAACTTGGATTTAAGGGCCAGGCGTACTTCGCGCGATTTCAGTCGCGACGCGATTTGGCAATATACCAGCTGTCCATAACTCCATATAAGCACATTCTAAATGTGCAGAAGATAGGGCATTTTATCAAGCCACGTAAGTCTTACACATTGTGCTTGTGCAGTTTGCATTGTTATCCGAAGACTTCTGGCGAATTGCCAGACCGCGTCGCGACTGAAATCGCGTGAAGTATGCCAGGCCCTTTACACTGTTGAGCGAATCGCCGATCGCTGTTCGTTACTGTAGCTGTACGAATTTTTAGCTTACAGAACCATTATGAAATGGATGTCTGACAAAATATTTCAAAATTTGTTCAAAATTGTGTGACAGTTTCGCACGTGCTGATTTCTACACAACTTTTTTACGAGTTTGGGCTTTTTTAATGCTTACTCACATTTCCAACTAACATTAGAAAATTATTTGTTACGGTTTGACTGGTATAACTCAGAAATGAACCGTCACAGTGAAGTGCAAATTTCATATTCGAAATCAGTGACTTTGATTAACCTGATATAAACTTTCGCTTGCTTGGTTTTCTTTCTGAGACAAAATATGGTCCTCAACGGCAATCCTTATCGAAGTTCCTACCGTAATCTTACAATATTGAAGATGGGTGATTCGCTCCATACTCCGAATCTAAGCTGAAGCCTCTTGTACTGAGTGATACTTGAAGATTGGCGAAAGACATTAGTGCAGGAGAGTTATTAAAGAACAAACAATATGCATATTTTTTTGAGACCCGGTGTTAAAAATCTGCGAGCCACTTGAGACTAGATTTGATGAGAAAAATCGTTTGGCACACAGTTTGAGGTACACGACTGTACATGATTTATCTTTAAGTCTCTAGTCTTTCATACAAATTGTAATACTCATGCTTACTCTAATTTGTCTTTGTTGTCGTAGTGGTCATTTTTTCTAATACTTTCTCTTTTTTCATATATATGGGGTAAAGTTCGATAATAATGTAACAAGTCTCATCACTAAAACTTTCTCTACCACTTTGAAATTAATTTTTTTGTTGGTGCCCAGCGCACAGATAAGTTTTCCGATGGAGTCGAGTAACACTTACAATGTTCTCATTTTGCGTGGTAAAGTTTTCTGTCCGCTTTTGTCAATACAAATTTCTTTAGAACATTCTTTTTTTTCTCTTTTTACTTTTCAAAATTTCAAAATTACTCCTCTAGGACTAGTAGGCTACCGGCTTGGCTACCGCATTCTCGCACCGCTTTCGGTTCGCTTGTATCTGCAATTAAACTTGTACTTCTAGAATTCTTTGACTACATGTATATTTAATTTGATCCTCCCCCCCCCCCCCTTCTCCGAAAAGTTTATGTCCGAAATTGGGATTTGAAAGTTTTGTTTCAAAGTGTCCTAATAAAAGTTTTTGCTCTACATAACTTTATGCGTTATCGACTTTTGAGGTCAAAAGTCGTTTCCTTTCTCTCATATCGCTAGGCAGCAAATGTATGTTATCACTGACATTTTCTAGCCGATTTTCCACGTCACAGTTTTCATTTGATTTTAAGCGGCTTTTGTTCGCGTTATCTACGCATTAAATAATACATAAACTATTGTATCTAGCATTAATTCATATGGTCATCACATTCCGTTCTAAAAAGACTTTTATTGCTTTGCTTGTCTGCTAATATCTAACTCATTCGGAGTCTCGTCGAACATAGCTGATTCATTTCCTTCTTCGAAAGACTGAGTCACGATTATGACCGAAGTTTCTAGCTTATTGTTAGTAGGCATTGCTTCAATGCGTCTTTCTTGATTGTCCTTGTTAGATTTTTTCAAATTCTAAGACACCAGCATGTGATAAGATGTGTTTATAGGGAATGTGACATCAAACAATTTAGCGTAAACAGCTTTGTGTTTTTCACATTGCATTGTGCCTTTTCGCCTCTCCGTTCCGTATTTTGTAATCTGAAAGCATTAGAGGCTGCAATGTGTTTCCATTCTTTCCACTGTTTTTCTGGAATGCACTTACGATAAACACATTCGCAGGCATTCAGACCATTCTTGTCTCTACATTCGAACAGAGGAATGCCCATTTCATTTTCTCTCACTTTGCTTGTTTCTTGAAAAGATGCCAATATGGTTTTGACTATGAAAGCGCTGAAGCACTAGCCTGGTATAAATCTTTCCAGAGTCAAACATTTTTCTTAAATATACCAGAAAGGACGTTTCATAGATATCCATTTCTGTATGATGTCTAACATTAGATCTACCTTTGTTTTTTATAGCGTTTACTTAGAAATAATTCATAAAATGAGAATCTTCAAGATCAACTACTTTTGGAGATCCCATCAGTAGGTCAAGAGCGATTTATCTCATTGTTAACTGAGAAAATTAAGGCCTGGATCCACAACGTGTTCGTTTGGTTATTGGAATTTTGAGCATTTTATTAGGGTGCCCGATAATTTTTTACCCTTCTTACTACAACCGTCGTCTCTTTGTTTTTTTCCTTCAGTTGATGAGGCTTAATTAATCATTTGACAGCGCAAAGCAAACTGTATAAGATGGCTATGAAGAATCCGCCCAAATCGTATTCCATCGGAGCTTTTGAGCTGAAATCTGATAGCTGTCGAAAACGAACTTTCTCTTTAAAAATCGTATCTCTGTCCCAAAATGTGTCAAAAATTCCCCATTAATCCTAGGTATGCTTGACACATCGCACATTCAAATATACTATTTCCGTATTTTTTCATAGCTATCATAGAAAAAAAGAAAAAAAATGAAGGGGGTAGAACGACAAACTCCGCCCCTAAACATCCTGAGCTCCTCCCACGCACGTGTTCATATAGCTCATACATACAGAAGTACGACCATGTATTTGTAAACTTTGAAGCTGCCCCAGTTCTGGAGAGTTGACGTTTAGGGTAAAAACGGTAAAAAAGTTATGGGACACCCTAATACATCCCAGTCTCGGAAAAGGACTGATTTTTTACTCAGCTTGTGCCACCATATTTAACAACAAATTCTGTTTTCGGTGACCATAAAGACCGCGCGTCTCTTCCGGATGCATGAACTGCAAAAAAAAACATTGCAAAACATTTGAGAATGTGGGTATATTATGGACCATTTTAATAGAACGTCCTTGTCATTGTTCTCTCGATGCTCCAGCATTTCATTCCCTTCACAAACAGCGATCAAACATCGCGGTTAAGAAAATCGTAAACTTTACCGCTTTTCCTAATTTACTATTTAATTGCATGTTAAAATCTTTTATGGAGTAAAATGGGGAACTAAAACTCTTAAGCTAATCATCACAAATGTTTTTCTTTACATTTCAGTCCGCTTTGACGAATTCCTTGAATAGAAGTCGTATGTCTATGGTTTCTACTCGTGATTTCTTCTTTTTCTTCCGTTACTTCGAGAAAGAGCTTCGCTTTTTTCATGATTTTAGGGTCGAAGAAATTTGCTTTCAGTAAGGAAAGATGTCTTCTCCGTGTGTAGAGAAACTCGCACCATCGTCTTGCGTCTGTCCACTACCATGTTCATGTAGCCGTGCAAACGTCATTGCTGATCTTCTTGGCGTATCGCCAATGTATCATCAGGAAGAGTGAGTTTATACTTTGGATTAATTTTTTGTAAAACAGTGCTAAAAAAAGTCGGAAGTGGCACTGAATTCTCGGATGAAAAAAAGTTTACCGATTTTTATTCATCTTCTACTTCAATTTTATTATCAAAACGATCATTTAGATAATTCATGCTATCTAACTTCATCAAGTAAACAATTTAGTGTACGTGATAATTCAGAAATTAACTTTAGGGCAAAGTAACTTTAATTGCACTTATCGTTCAATCTTTTTACATCCACCATAGTAGTCACATCATCTCGTACACTTCGATAGCTTTTTCTATAAATACGTAAAATAAGATAACTACTTCAATGTAAACAATTTTTTCTTTGTCAGAATATTAGTGAATGATCTTGTATATAGTATACAAAAGATGGTAGGTATCCTCGAGTCATTTGCAGCTCAGTACTCGTATTGCACACCATGCGCGCTGCATGACGACTTGTAAGATTGTAACCTGCGCATTTGCAACGATTTCTCTTTGTTTTCTTGCATCTTTTGGCTTTCTTTAATATGTCACTAATTCATACTTCTACGGTTTGTTACGATGAAAAAGGTCTAACTGAAAAGTTACTGGTAAAGATGCCGTCGGTCGCTGAGTGTTGCAGACTCACATATCAATTTATTGAAGATTCGGTGATAAGTGTCTAAATTTCACGAGCTTTTTCGGCTTCTGTCAAAACATACACGAAAGGTCATTTTTCAATGACTGCCATTCCGGACTGAGCATATTTCGCGTATTGAGTTTGCGTGATACTTTCTGGCCACTGATGGGTATTTGGTCTGAAGTGTTAATCTTTTGGTTTCAAGACATGTATACAGAAGTTTAATCAGTTTGTCAAAAAATGTCATCGTAGACTTGCAAATTCTAAAACTTCAGAAAGCATACGATCATGTATTTAAGGAAGTATTTCTGAGGAAGCATTATTCTTTGACATGCTTGGGCATTTACAATTTGAGCTCAAGGGCTCGTTTCGGTTTTCACAACATATGCACTTTCAAGCACTTAGATTTTTTGAAAGTGCATACGATGTGATAACATATGAGTGCATATGATGCTTAAATCAAGGATCTAACTACCACCCGTGTTCAAAAATTGGCGAGTTTTATATTCAACTTCATGTTTGGAATTCAATAATTTAGCAAGTCGGTCGAATCTTGTAATCACACCTCGTTTCAAGTCAAAGAACTTCTTTCAAAGAATCAAAAGATGATTACACACAACTAGCGTCAAGTCGTGCAGACTCAAATATACGAATTTCATGATCCACCGATGACTCTGTGCTTTCGAGAGCTATGAAAATATGGGAATTACATTAGAATTTCGAGTCGTTTGCGTATTGCACATGAAAGGGCATGAGCTTCACGTGAGTGCAGACAGGCTGTTTACATCGAAATTACAATGGGTCGTTTGTAATCGATAGCATTATTTCCATGAAAAGCTTCGTACCGAAACATCCTTTCATCTGACTTTATATTTTGTAGTGAGCACGGTAACGCGCCAATCATACATTTATCCTTATTTTGATTCTGGGTAGTAATCGTGAATTGTCCGAAATGTGCGGGTAACGGTTAGCTGTTCCTGCTACAGTAATTATAACCTAGTATTATAAGATGAAGTGACCGAGCTGAATTTTACTTCTTCGATCGCTGGGTCCCCATTTCAGGCTATGAAAAAAATGTTATTAATCAACACCATGGTTTTACAAAGTCACCTCTTTATTGAACAAGTGCTTCGCATGAATTATTGTGCACTAACCTTGTAAACTGTAGGTTCAGCTATGCTATGTCCTTCTGTTTTAGCTTCCATTTGAAAGCGCAGTATCATTACAACCTATAAATAGAAGTATTTAAAATTGAAAAACATTTGCATCACATATGTGCCAAACACATGTAATTTCAAATGCATTCATTTGTTGTTCTCTTTTTTCTTTGTTTTAGAGTAAATCGCCCAAGTGGATGTGCTGGTAATCGCGAGTTAGTTACATACTACCTAGAATATCCGAAAAGTGCACTAGTTGTTTCAGTAGTTTTGAGTTTTACGGGATTATCTGAAAAGGCTTATTCGATCTCATAGGACATAATGTTGCCCCAAAAATATAAGAGGTTCGTTCAAAAATGTTTAGAAAAGCCTATCTATACATCACATCTTTCGTTTTATTTGACAATTAATATCCTATACATATTATTATATTAGATGAAAAATAGTACAAGAATCTGAAAGTCATCGGTCACTCTCTGTCTGCTTGACCCCTTACACGTGAGTTGTTAATATTCCATCTTTCTAGGAATTCCATTATTGTGATGTTTTGCTCCCATACTGTCAGGACACCTTGCCAAAGCGATTAATCATAATGACATATCTATCTGCAGTTATTATAATACAAGATTTATGGCAGAGCTCAGAAAGTCCAAAATTGCCCCATAATTCATCTTAACTGCCCATGGGTTCAGTATGTCTTAAAAACATTAAAACTCGTTTTGCTCATACCAACATAATTTACGCTGAAACGAGATTACTTTTGCTATAAATTGAATGTTTACAGTACTGCCCGTTGGAACTCGGCCGCTTGCCTTTATCAAGCTATGAACGATCAGGTATCGAAGTCACATCTTCAACAGCCGACAGGAGATCGTAGAGTTAGAAGCGGTGAGTTGAACTAAAGCACTAAACCTATTGGAATGCTTTGCACATGTATCTCCCTAATACACATTATAGCAATAGTATGTTCAAAGCTCTTAGGATCCCTGTAAGAAAGCCAGCGTTGCATGTTTTGGCCCGTGTCAGCGTCGTCCTAGCGCAGAGCCGGAACCAAGGTCGGTGAATACAGCGCACCCACGGGGTCTCCGTCACCGCGCTGGAACAGTACGGCCACAGTAGTGCGCTTGAAATATCTCGAAGTTCAAAAAAGTGTTTTTATGACGTTTCGCGGATTTAAAAATTGCTGAAGGGGCTGGAGGAGAGATCCCCGCAATAATAGCGACTGGCTAGGGGAAGCTGTATGGGGAGACGGTCAAGAGGCGCGATTTCTTTCGCTGTCAGCAACTCAGAACTCCAGTTTAGCGCTACGCGAGTTTTAAAAGGTACCACGTGAAGTGCAATGAGTTACTATCTGTCTAAGATAACTAAATGCTGAGTTCGTTGGCTTTTGCTGGAAAACGGACCGAAATATTCAAAAACTTGTTTTTAACTGCATTTTCATGGGTTTTTGACCTTCAAAATTGCTTTTCGAGTTGCTTCCAAGGTACCAAGATTGAGGACCCATGCAGCTATCTAATATATCTCCTTCAGAAATTTAGATACTTTTAGAATGTTATAAAACACTTATTATGTGCTGTTTGTTGTCCATCTGGCAATAAAAATTGCGCCTCTTGACATACACCCAGCTGTATGAGTGGAGTCATAAACCCATTTTGGCGGCAATTGGCTGGTTGGCTCAGACAACCAATCGCACCTCAGTTGGCGGAAATCGCTCGTCCAACCCCTTCAGCAGTCTCCAAGCTCTGAAAACGCCATAAGACTCACTTTAATTCGAGAATTCAAGCACAGTCGCGGATTTAAAGCATTTAGAAGGCCAAGGAGGAATAAAGAGATTGCAGTTGCAATTTTCCCTAGCCACTACTGTTAAAGGCACCGTCCACCCACATTTTCGACTTTCATGTTTGTCGTCCTCGCGTCTTCTCATGTCTCTGATTCCGAATATGAAGTCAAAAATCCGCGAAAACCCCGACAAACTTTCCGGAGAACACACCCCGCCCGGCGTTCTTGGAACGGCGATTGGATAGGCGAGCATTGATGGGCTGGATTTCATCAACTGGAGGCGTGGTCGCACACCGCCCACTTTTTTTTAAAGGCAGTGTCCGGGCAAAAACTCGATTTTGAGATTTTTTGCTTACCCGGGCCTATTCGCTACGCTGAATCCGAAAATGCACATTGGAGAGCGCGAAAACGGCGAAAAACAGCTCTAATACGGGCGGGAAATCAGCAGATGGGCGGGGTCCTCCCCACTGTGAATTCACGCTCCCAGCTTCCAGAGCGATCTTCTCGGTTCCGATTTCAAGTCATGCATTCGCACCTGGCCGGTGGAGATCTCAGGGCGCTGTAGGAATTGGGAAGATCGCTCCAGAAGCTGGGACTGCGGAATTCACAGTGGGGAAAACCTCGCCCACTTTCGATTTCCCTCTTGCGTTAGTGCCCTTCTTTGCCATTTTTGCGCTTTCCAATGTGGATACTCGGATTCAGCATAGTGAATAGGCCCGGGTAAGCACAAAATCTAATAATCGACTTTTTGCCCGGACACTGCCGACACTCTCGTCCAAAGTGTTTTTCTCGCTACAGATGCCCTTTTCCGACCGGACTTGATGCGTTGCGTCAGTCCCAAGCTTGCTCTCACACTGCATCAAAATCTCGCCACCCCCTGGGTGGACAGTGCCTTCAAAAGTAGATGTATTTACCTAACAAGAGAAGGATACTAAGTTGATTTGGCCTTTCTAGGTGAGATGCGTATCCTTCGATGCAGCTTGATGTGCTGACTTCAAATCTGTATTCTTTATCTGCTAAGCGTTTCTCCAAAAGAAGTTATGATATATCATGATATTTTTTTATTTTGAAAAATCCGCACATCCAGAAGCTGTCAAACGAGCCGTCGTACGTAGTATGTTCAAAACAGTGCCGAAAATCTGTAGCGGTAAAGAGGAGATGTTGCATATGAGAGGAACACTTTGTCCGCGACCGCGGTACTTAACAACGTTATTCGCCCCTCAACTCACTCAGAGTATCTAGAAATCGCTATATGCATGTAGAAAAAAAAAAGCTTTCAAAGAGGAAAACTAAGAAATCTGCGTACGTAGCAACGCACTCACGCATCTAAATTGCTTCGGTAAGAATGGAAAAACTGGAACAAGTATATCAAAAATGGAAGAAACTAGCAAAGTCGTCTCTCAAAAAGTCCATTTGCTCCAGCAATTTTCCTAGCAAGTTATTTTGAATTTCAAATGTTGTTAACTGCAGCATGAAAGAAGCATTTTTCCAGCATATCACTCTCCTGAGCGTGATTCGGATCGTCCCACTCTTCTTGGAATAGGAGGAAGTATGCACAATCTAACGTGAGTGCTTTAACATTTTCGTCGGCAAGAAAACCTTGCATTTTCATCAAATGATTATTTGTCACTTACTGATTTTCCAAAAAAATCACATCACCAGCAGCGGTCCGATGTTGCAAAAAAAAGCAGAGTTTGTTTAGTCTACACGGAACTTTACACCTGATTTGTTTGAGCTTTGAAGCAAAGTACGCATTTTCGAACGGCATTTTGCACATCAACAATAAATCAGGAGCCATGACGTGATTGGAATGAAACATATGTCTCGGCTGTAATCGCAGAATAAAACGCTTTTCTAATGGATTCTCGAATGCATTAGGCTTTAAAACATCGCTGAGCCGAGTTTATGTGTCGTTTGGTTGCCTGAGAAATTGCCTCCGACAATGTGATGTGGCATCGGGAATCAATTAGTCTGAACGGTTTTATACATAAGCTGAAATAACATTATTCACGTGAACGTACCCCAACGGGGAGCATAGAAACGTTTTTGCAGATCATATGAAATATTCATGTCGTCTGCGTTTTCGCAATTTTTGCTCCGCGTTAGGCTACGTGTAATGTCTGAGAATTTGCGTGACCGCATAAATTTACCGAAAAAAAAAGAAAAGAGCGGAGGATGTGGGCGAAAAAGAGCGATTGCTAGATGCAGAGGAGAACTAAAGGCTATGCTATAAAAATTGTGATGTTCCACATCAAAAAAGTTTCCATTAGAACACCTTTATTAGGGCAAAAGTCAGCTGTTCTTTTCTACGACCAAAGCTAGGATGGGCTTCTGTTCCGATACATAAAACTTTTTATGATAAATCTCAAACATGCATAATGCCGACGTTATAGGATTGTGCATTATGGTACCAAAGAGATCACACATTAAATTTCTTATTTCCCATAAAATTCTAAAGGCAACAAAGCAGATTTATTTCTAAATAGCCTGCATAGCGCGAATTTCGCTCGCCAAAACTTTTCGTAGTCTTCCCTCTGGTTCTTCCTGCTACTATAATCATCTCTAGCGCACTTATTTAGTCGTTTTTGGTGAGAATATTGAAATGCATTATAACGGGAGAACTTGTGTAGTCACCACTAGCAGCAATCTTGAGAAGGATATTCTGTCCAAAGTTATGAGGAATTTTGTCATGAATAAAAACACCCTCTTTTAAGATATATTCCATATAAACTCATATTGCAAAAAGGCCAGATTTTCTGAGCCAAGTATAGTTTGCGTAGCTGCAGTGCTGCAGTATCCGCAGGATTGTATTCAAAATTTTAGATTGTTTTATTTTCTTTAGACAATGTCCCAAAAGCTGTGTCCTGTCACTTTCCATTTTTAGTACATACCATATGCCCTCAAACAAGTGAAACTCCAAGAACGGAAGTTCACGTTTACAGAGAGCTTCTATATATAATTTTGTTTTCAATAGATACAATATTAATGGCTCCAGCAACGAAAGTAACTTTTTATAGACAACGATCAAGTGCATCATTTGAACTTTCTCACTTTGTTGCTTGACTTGCTTTCTATGGCTTTCTGAATTTGAACAACTACAAAAATAGATTTACACTCTTGAAACTACCCAAGCACTTTGTGTGGGTTGGTAGACCTCAATCAAAAAGCAGATTTTATTGTATATCGGCCACGCCCACTTCGACGAGCCTAAAAAGGAAGCGATGGAGTGCTGGCGCACTTGACTGCTTCGCATTCGCTTTTTGCTAGATTTGGTGGTGCTCCCATCTGCGATAAATTTACCTGCTTTTTATCAGAAAAACTGTAATCTTTGATTCAACTGGCTTGGCGGCTGAAAGGCGGGGCTTCGTGACCTAATTAAGGCCAAATAATGATCGGAGAGCAGCCGCGCGGGAGAGACGCAAATTGCGTCGCGGGCGCTAGCAGCCTCAATTAGGTCACAAAAGCCCGCCTTCCTGACGCCAAGCCATTTGAATCAAATTACCTCCTTATAACTTTGGATTTGCGTTGGTTTTCGGCTTGGTGAAAAATTTCAGTTTCCAAGCTACCCAATTTGGCTCTTCACCTACCATTCTCATTCACTCTTTCCCAGCTTTGTTCACTTCTTTTCTATCCTTTTCGCCGGAGTGTTTATCATCAAAGCTCACGTGCAATGGATAGGGCTGCTCAATTTCACAAAGGTTACCGCTTCGATCATGGAATTCTATCTAAGTGCAAATTCCTACGTCAATAGCGTGCGAACATCACATCCATCTCTGTCATTCATATTGGCTGCGTTAGCTCACGTATGGATGAGTTTGCTTAATTTTTCATTAATACCTCATTGTGTAAGACAATAGTTGATTTTTCAATTTCATAAAACGTCAACCAGTCATCAGCTGACTGAGGCTCACTTTGCGCCCGTTCATGTCGCTTTCCAGACCAAAGTTGTTTCACTTTTCTATGGTTTGAAAACTTTCTCGAACTGGTTTTTTTTGAGAATTTTTGTCCAGGTTCTGTGCACCTTTTTTGTACTATCGCTAAAAAGTTTTCAAATCTTCATGACATTTTTTCTTCAACAATATCGCGGATATTGTAATAGTGGTTTTCAACTCCTTCTGAAATAGAAATTTAGAGACTCTTTGGATCCCTTTCAAAATGTACACCGTGCCCATATGTGAGTTGTGCTAGTCGTCCGTGCAGGCTTACCGGCAACAGAGCTTCCTCTACCCGGCAGCCTTGTCAAATGCTAAATACTACGGCTCTAGTCCGAGTAATGGGCAGCTGCGATAAAGCGCATTAGTTCTACATAGCTTTAAAAGCATGTTATCAATACCCTACCGTCTTTCTAGGGGGACTTCTTGGTTGTCACTGCACCACATCGAATTTCACGCCATTCCTACTGTAGCTTTGCCCTTGAAATCGAATATAATGCAATTTGTGTGCTATTTCGTACTTGTTTTTGCATTCTCTTGCTGGAGAAGACGAGCAAACAATGGCTGAAGCACATTATATAGTTTCAGCAATGTCAGAAGCAGTCACGCATGACATGAATGCAGACTTTTTACTTTGGATCAACTGGTACATGTACATTATGCACCCCATAGCCGTCTTTTTCCACTTTGGAATTCAAGCAAGCCAGAAATAGCAGTTGTCTTCTTCGTGCAACAAGTTTTTTCCTTCTCCTCATCTCATCTTCACTCGTCAAAAAAGGCTAGCCACCTTCACATTCAGCTTGAAAAAGCGCAAATGAGTGTCGTTCTCGCACAATGGGACACTTAACTTCCTGGCTACGTTGTGTTTGAACTTTTGATTTTCGACTTGCGAGAAGAAGGAAAAGCAATTCTGTAATGCATTCGTCTAGCAGTGTCACTTCGTCTGCAAAAGATGCTTTAGTTCGTCCAATTGCAGAGTGTAAAGTTCGCATCGTTCGTTTTGCATTACGATACCGAAGCAGAAGAAGAGGAAGTTATGGCTTTGCACTTCGTTCTTTGTTTAGCTCCACATCCGTCCTTTCTTTCTTCATTGGAACGAATTCGCTAAACTTCATGCTTTTCGCTGTCTTTGCACTTTACCGGATCACAAACCAGTGATACATGACACGTCGTCGTCAGTGTTTTTTCGTGACGTAATATGTATGATTGCACAGATTTCCGTATTGTGCGTGACCCTGATTCTGATGAGGCGCGAGACTCGCATAATCTCTAGCTGTGTACTTTTCGATATCTTGTGCCTTCTGTTCTTTCTAAGCGACGGGTACAGACAAAAAATGATTCTTTGCAGAATGACCAAGGAGGTTTGGCATAAACGCGCAGTGTGGATTTTGTTTTCAATTGCACATAGTAGCTCATTTAATGGCCCATAGTAAACCTTGGTCAGGGGAGATATTCTTTCCTGAAGCCCTTATGTGAGGTTCCGTCAGGTGATGACGACCGCCCACTTCCCTATGCTATAAGAATGCAACACCTGACATGTGAGCCTCCGGTCAAGTCCGGCGGGGAGATCACCTATTTTCTGAGTCACGGGGATTGATCAGAGCGATGATCTCCCGAAATAGTGTGCCAGCGAGGAGATTTAGAGAAAATTTCCGTAAGTTACTCCTGATTAACTTACGATACACGTCATTTCAACATGTCGAATATACTGAGTGAGGAGCAACAGTGCAGGCTGACGATCTTCAACAGATCTAACGAATGCGGCCACGTCTACGCCGCTAGTACCAATCACAGAAAATGTACCTAAATGTTTGGCGAATGCGTTTTAACTTGTATACTTGGATGAACGTGTTGCGCTCAATCATATCAACGTGCGTGGTTGAAATTATCAATCAATGGCTCAACTAAGGCCGAGCTGACTCGTCGAGGCCTCAACTGAAGCTTTCCTCAGTTGAGATTGGATGAGGCAGCTTTACTACTGGCCAATGACTCCACTGTGCAGCGGTTTTCGGCTTTACTCCCTTCGCTGTTAGTACAGTGCAGTCTTTCCTTGCGATTTTCTGCAAGCACTTCGCGACTGGGGTCCAACGGAACTGGTCGTTCGGTGCGTTCGTTTTTTGCCCGACGGCTGCGCGCACGTTAAAATGTTGTAAGCCTGCAGAAATACGTCGTTTGCCTGCACTCTTCGCGATCGAGCGCGTTCGGAGTGATATTTATAGCAACTCGTCAGGCTGGTACGGGCATACACACTCGTCACAGCTTCTCCAGTTCCTGTTCTCGTATCAAAGCGGTATCGTCTTGCAAAGGGTGCAGCGCTTGGCGTACGAAGGCGTTCTTGGCGGCGCATGATTGAATCAGCTTCGTGCGGTTTGAACTCCATTTTCAATTATTAGATAAGCCTCCTCTTCTTCTTTCTGCTCTTTTGAGTATTTGCTAGTTTGAGGAAATTGGAATAATCAACTCAGCTTTCGCAATGATTAGTATTTTTCTCACAAAAATCTCTAAATGTTTTTTCCATAAAAAATTGCATGTTAGTTCAAATAAGTGATCGAAGCTACTCAAAATGTTTTTGCAACATCCTCTATCAAGGTAGTGCAGCTGCCATTACTTAAACATTTTTTGAAAACTTAATT